AGGAAAAAAAAAGTAAATAGAGAAAAAAGGCACCAATAGTTGGTGGTGCGCAAGCCAGTGTCTTGGTGTGGTGTTGTTGCGGCTGTTTCAGTTGGCCAGTGACAGGGACAGGTTGTTGTCGGTTGAACCACATGGTTCTGGGCCGCTTGGCGCATTACGTAGGACCGCCCCACTGTTCTTCAAGGTTGAGCTACTGTACATACAAATGTCTACCAGGCAGCATCCCGAGGTCATCTCGGTTTGGGGAGTGTATTTTCCTCTTTGCACTCATAATATATAGAAATTGAATTCTTCTTGACCGTAATTGAAAGACTTCATATTCGAAAACGACAACCTGCTTGTCTGCTGTGTCGTAGGTGGCCAACTGGCGGCACCTGGCCTGGTGCATGGCCCGTGCGCCACCCGAGTGTGAGTGGGACAAAATCTCCAAACCGCCAGGTTCCGGGCTGTCAACTGTTCTTCCTACAAAATAATCGCTACAAAATAACACACGCATTGCCGTCGCAACGACACTCTTTCTTGTAGCGCTTGCCTGTATAAGTCACCATTACGATGGATCACGACGGCCAATTGATGGCTGTCAATCCCGACACACCATTACAACAGGAGACACCAACGCCACAACCTGATCAGAACCAAGATGGAGCAGACGCAACCGCCAACACAACCACCACCACCACCCCTAACCCCGATGTCTCAACACCAGAGCTCCCAGCCGCCTTTCCCAAGCGGCGTCGTGGCCGTCCTCCTGGACGTCCCAACATGTCCACCAAGGAGGAAGAGTTCAAGGACCACCCGTTAGTCAAGAACTGGAATGCGGCATGTGCAAACCCCAAAAACCCCATTCTTACCGTGGCCGTTGCTATCCGCGACGCCTTGTCAGACACTGCTCTCAAACATGAGAATCAGAGGAAGATCTTCCGCTTGCCTAGCCATGAGTACATACACTTTGTTCAGGGGTGGATTACCGCTCGTCATATCGCTGCTCAACGGCCCAGTTACGTCAACGGTCTACTCATTCACTCTCGCGGTCAGGACGCGCCGGTGTCGTGTACCACGTGTGCTGAGCGCCGCTCTAAACACTCGTTGGGTCCGTTTTTGGAGTGTCGGGTGCTACCAGAGTTTTTCCATGGCAGTTGTTCCAACTGCAAGTGGTTCGACAACACGTCCAACTGTTCACTGTACAAGGGTCCAAAGCCAAACAGAAAGAGGAAGGCAAAGGACGATCAAGCTGCTCTGGATGCACCTGAGGACGGAGAAGCAGGGCCCAGTGATGCGAATCAGATGGTTGTCACTCAACAGCATCAGCAACCGGCGGCAGCAGGACAGACTGGTGACCACATACACCCTCAGCTTATGGGCACTGGGCCGAATATGCACACTGGTTATCCGGTTCACGGGCTTCAGACGGGTCAGCATATGACTGATGCTCAGTTTGCACTGTCAGAGGGAGGGCAAGGGTCTACGGGAAGTGGGGACGGTGAAAGAGAGGGTGAGGGAAGTGGTAGTGGAGATGGGGATTCAGAGTGAGTGCGCCTAAACCTTTATGGTATCAGTTGCTGACTGTGCTTCCTCGACAGTGATGTTGATATGCAGGTATCTCGTAACTTGGGGGCATTTGTTCAGTAGGACTGGGCATGGATGATGGGTTGTGGTGATGTCTAGCTTCATGCATAGCGTACCTGTAGCTTTGGACTCTAGAGCATGTAATAACAGTGAGTAGGTGATAATCAAGTCTTTGGAACAACAAATACTATAGTCCAATGGTGTGCTTACCCAGCGACACAGCCTTGATCTATCGGGATCAAGACCTCTAGCTCCCTGATTGAGCGGTTTGTGTTTTAGCTGCTATCAGCCTCACTCACACCCTACCAAGTCCGACTCCTTTAACATCGGGCAGTCGCCAGCCATGAATTTTTAGAGGGGCATACAACAATTTTACCTCCGCAACATGCCGTTATGGGCTCCGAAAACCCCGGGGAAACAACAATCGGCATTGCCGCTCTGGTAGCGGCCGTTGCCGCCCTCCTCTTCGCCGTCGATCAGACCATTGCTGCGCTCGCCCAGTACATCTCCGTTAGCAGTCGATGCAGCAGACGTGTGAGCGGCGTGTTTGACCTCACAGCAGGCTTTTGGTTCCACCTTTCCTCGCTGTCGTGGAATCCGCAATATCGAATGCCGGTGCTCACCATGCCGGGGTTGCGGTCAGAGCCAGTGGTAACCATGGAGAGAGACCCCTCCAACGCCGAGTTCAGGCCTGGGAAGAACTACGACAAGAAGAGAAACGGATATCTCGACTATGGCGTCCTGCGCGTGGTAGCGGGGAGTGATGGATCCAAGGTTCACAGGAAGTCAGCATTTTACCGACATTTCTTCGGGGTGTTTTTGCTGTGGTGTGGACTCCAATTGGGATCGCTTTCTCTTCCATCACTCTAGTCTTTTGCTGCCCACCGGCGTTTGCGTGCAGTTGCGCGTGCACAGGGTGCTGTGGCATGGGTCGGCCTGAGGAGGAAGAGGAAGAACAAGATAAACGAGACAGATTTGACTGGTGCCGTCGGAAAAGGTCACGGGAGATATGCCTCGACTTGCTGACTCCTTTGACGTTTGCATGGAAATGGGCCATCAAGTACAAGTCCGCCATGGGAGTTCACCTGGTCTGGAGGCCGTCGCGTGGTCTCAGTTTCTTGTCAATTACCAGGCTATTTGGTGGGGACACGCCAACATCAGGTGGGAGTGGCAACGATGATTCCGTCGGATATCTACGGCGCTACTATCGAGACGACCATGGCTGATGTGAAGCTGTTGGCCGCACTGTCAGGAATGTCGTTTTCAAGCTCACCAGGTGTGATAGCGCGGACGAAATGTGGGGAGATGCTCACCAAGTCTCAGCACATGGTTCTTGGGGCGGTGGTGTACCACCGTTCAGGAAGGGAGAATATCGCGCCCAAAATCACCATGAAGGTCCGTGCGAATCCTCCACATGGCTGCACTGTCTGCTGGAGATGCAAAACCACCTCAAGGCCGCCCGCTCATTTTCATCAAACTTCAACTGATGATAGTAAACAGCATAAAATCACCACCCTCCTGTCCAGACCCCGAACGGAATACGACGCCCAACTCCCCCTCTCCCTCGGCAATCTCAGTTTCTTTTTCAAAACCCTCTTCACCCTCCCCTGGAAACACAACCTCTCCTCTGGCCCACCCCCCGCCCTCTCCTTGCAAGCAGAACTGAAAACTTACCCCCCTGTCGTTTCTGGTTCTCAATCAAGACATGAAGTGTTGACACCGGGGCATTGGAGTCTGAAGCCTGGGGCAAAAGTGGTGAAATCCACCAGGATCGTCGGACCTATCGGGTGTTTTCTCAACCCGACTCAGACTAGGACTTGGCTGCGTGGAAGTCTGGGGCGGGAGATCGAGATTCAAACCCGGAGTGTCTGTCTTTACTTTGCAGTACTAAATAAGAACTGCACGGCCGTATTGTGTAAATGCCCCGGTGGACCTGCCACCATTGCCAGAGCTGTGAAGACAACAGGATCGTTTGAGGTGTTGATGGCGGTTGCGGCGGTGAATAACGATTTTTTGGGGAGGGTGGGGAAAGGGGTGTTGGGTAATACGGCGAGGGAGTCAGCAGGCTGGGTTTGTAAAGGGGATCAGAATGACAGGGGGTTGAGGAGGGAGGTGACGGATTGTATACAACGGGCGTTGGAGGCTGGTGGAGAGGAGGGGGTGGTGGTGGAGGGGAGTTTGGAGTTGGTCAAGGTTGTTATGGCTAATACGGAGGTGGTGTTGAGGGGGGTGAGGAGGGGGTTAGGGGTGGGGGAATATGTGGGTTGGTGGTCATGGGAAGGGGGAGGTCTGGGAGGATGATTTTGGGGGGGTTGTTTTGGGAGCTTGAAATTTAGTGTTTTGAATTCTCATGGGGCTGAAGTTGGTGATAGATGTAGGTAACTGGGTAGTTGTGAATGAGTGACACGCGCCCATGTGAGCCAACCATTCCGCCGTCCTGTCGTGGTCGTCGTGGCGACGAAGAGCATCCATCCGCTTTCATTTCACCCATACATCATATGACCACAACAAACCACCCGCTCCGCAACCCAGCAACCACCCCCATATAAGCGGAGGATCTTGGGAGCCTAGTGTCACTGGTTAGGAGAGCGTGGTGCAACGGTCAAAGCCGTTGCCTGCGTGTTGGTTGTCTCCGTCCCGAAAAGGCCATCATGTATCTCACATTCCCTTCTCCGATGCCGCCTATTTGTGAGGCTGAATTCTGAGCCATTCCTTGGCTTAAGTTCACTTCACAAATAGGCGGCATCGGAGAGAGCAATGCGAGCGAAATGATGCCTTCACCACGGGTGGACAGTCTGTCTCTGAGGATGCCATGACAATCTTTTTGTTTTTGGTCAATTTGAAGAAAAAAAAAAGTTGGTTGAGGACGGGAATCGAACTCGGTCGCTGTCTGCCAGTCTTGTCCCTGGTTTCTCCAGCAACTGGGAGGAGCGACCACAGTATAAATATTAGGTCCACGTTGCTCCTTTCCAACCGAACAGCAGGCTACAGCCATTGAGGATCTGACTACGGCAGGCCCCGTGGTCAAGTAGACAGCCTGCTGGCTGAGGGGAGTGTCGAACTCCTCTCAGGGCTCCCACAAGGAGTTTCACATTTGATTCCGCCGCGAAGCAAAATCCGAGGGTTTTCGTAACTGATCTTATTCTCTCACTGAAGCACAGGTGATTGCGGCATGATTGTTGTCGCCCACTGGCTTCCCATAGAATCCATTATCGTCGCAGTCTACCAGGTGACTAACATTTGACCCAGTAAAGGACTGGTTGAATCCTGAAGCCCATATCAACAAACATGTCAAGTACGTACTCTTGCCTCTTTCGGAAAGAAACGTGCAGAAGGAACAAATGTCAGCCACATTCTGACGCGGTCAAAGGTCGATGTATGGTCCTTTTGCCTGCCCGACAACTCTTGTTTGCTTAGACCGTCCGTTATCTCCGAGTGTTACGTGAAGCCTTCTTGTCCGGCCTTGCTGCAGGAACGTGCCGTCCGAGATCCAATTGCAGCTACATATATCAGTCTGCAGTCAGCACGGAGCTCGGAGCGGATGAATTCATTAACAGAGGTTAAGTAAGCTGGTCCACGTCACCGGTATCTCATCATCATCCCAAGGAGAGCTGGTCTGATGTTTTTGCGATTGAAAGTTGTGGTGGAGATCGGACCTGGAGTAAGGAGATGAATGCTGCTGTCCCATTCGGCAAAAGAGGACGGCAATGACGGGATATAAAACAGCTGCATCGCTCTCTCAACATTCACCACCATTGTCTTTATTCACATCGACATCAATCATCATGAAGCTCTTGGCCCTCATCTCGGCCTTCCTATTCACAACCACCACCCTCGCTCTCCCCAACAGCCGAGGAAAGCCCTCCAAAGGAACATGGCAAACCCTCCCCTCAATCAGTGACTTACCTCGCCAGGAACACGTCACCCTTGCCCTCTCCCCCTCCTCCCTCGCCATCTTCGGTGGCATTTTGCCAACCAACGACACCTCCTCCCCCCTCCCCTATTCAACAACCAACATCCTCCAAATCTACTCCATCCCCAACAAAACCTGGACCATTGCCGCCCCTGCACCGCTAGCCCTCAACCACCCCAACGCCGCCGTCGTCGACGGCAAAATCTACCTCCTGGGAGGCCTAACCGAAGTCGACAACTGGGCCTGGAGACCCTCCCCTTTGTCTTTCGTCTACGACCCCAAAACTAACCAATGGGCTGACCTCCCCCCTCTCCCGGACAGTCATACTCCCCGAGGAAGCGCGGCGATGGGGGTGCACAACGGCGTTGTCTACCTCGCCGGCGGCCTCACCATCCTCCCTCTTATTCCAGAACTAGGACCGCAGCAGACGACGGATGTGGTCTCTGCTTTTGACACCAAGACCAACACCTGGGTTACGCTTCCTCCTAAGGCGAGGAGACTGCCGGAGGGGAGGGATCACGCTGGGGCGGCGGTGTATAAGGACAAGTTTTATGTTCTTGGGGGGAGGAGGGACGGGCAGGATAATGTTAGGGACACGGTCTATGAATTGGATCTGAAGAGATTGGGAAAGGGGTGGGTGGTGGAGAAGGGGCGGATGCCTACTGCTAGGGGGGGAGTTGCTGCTGCGAGGGTGGGGGGGAGGGTTTTTGTCTTGGGGGGGGAGGGAAATAAAGTTAATGGGACGGAGGGGGTGTTTCCTCAGGTGGAGGTATATGATGTTGAGAGGGATAAGTGGGAGAGGTTGGGGGGGATGGAGGTGCCGAGGCATGGTACGAGTGCGGTGGGGGTGGGAGGGGGTGTGTATGTTCCTGGGGGGGGGGGTTAGGCAGGGAGGTGCACCGGTGAGTACTTTTGATGTGTTTTGGCCCTAGTATGGAGGTGATAAAGGGGTCTTTCGTTGCGGTTTTGGGGGTTGATCATGGATGGCTGCTGTACCTATTTGGGATCCATGGCACAAGCAAGTTTGATAATAGATTTCAGCGATTGTTTTTCCGTGACTTGCATGCAACAAGGAGAAAAACAATGTGAAATTTGTGGAACCAAAAGGACATCCTACCCACAGGGTAGGCCGGGTGGTATATATCTCTACAAAATTTCTGTCTAATATTTGTGTGTGTTGTGTGCAAATTTAAGTTCAGAGGCTACGGACATCTGTTCTGCACTCCCACCTCCCACGCCATCAAAAGCCCCAACTCCGCCACCGAAACTCAGCAACAAACTCAAATACCTCACCGGGTGACTAGTCTAGTGGTCAGGACGCTTCGTTGTGGTTATTCTTCGCAAGAATATCACATACGATCCGAAGAAACCCCGGTTCGATTCCGGGGTCGCCCATTATCTTTTGACTTTTTTTTCTCCCTTTACCCTCTTTGGTATCTCCACCCCTCCAACCCATCCCTCCCTGTATCAACCACCCCAGCCCTCTTTGTCGGTTCAGTGTTGAAGACCTTGCCAGCTTTTGTGTCGAGGACTCGACCCATGGCAACAACAAGACAAGTCACCATCCGGTCTCCGAACCCCCCAAAGGCTGGGCAGCGGTGGGGGCGGAGGGAGTAAGGCAGGTAGGCTTCTGTTTGGAGGGGGCTGAGGTTGTCGAAGCGGGAGGGGGAGAACTCGAGGGCGGTGGGACCCCAGATGGAGGGGTGCCGGTGCATGAGTTCGAGGTCGGCTTTGATCTTGAAGGAGGAGGAGGGGGTGTGGCGGTAGATGCGTTTGTTGGAGGGGGTGAGGCGGAGGCCTTCCTGGGGTTGGGTGTTAATGGGAATGGAGTGAGTGATGGGGAGGGGGGAACGGGAACAAGGTGGCCTATATTGCTTACTTTTGCCAGTTTGAGGGCCTCCCTCTCCTCGAGAGAATTCGTCCCGAGACACTCGGGAACAGAAGAGATCCTTGATGGAAGGGTAGGCGAAGGATAGAGGTGAAAGGCGAGGATGTAAGTGACCATGACGACGCGCCAGAGTGTTTCATATTGGGGCATGATCATACTGAGGATTTCCTCCGGGTTTAGTTGGTCGAATGGCCAGCATAAACACCGGGGGTCCCTGCGTTGTAGGGCAGTGAGGTGGTGGATGAGAAGCGATGATATCACGGGTTTCTCCGAAGACGACTTGGCTTTGAGCCATTGGTTGTTGATTTCGTCGGTGATGATGACCAGTGAGTCCCGTGGCAAACTGTCCGAAGAGATCTGAAAGTTATCGATGAGCACGACTTTGAGGCAGGTTATTCGGGTGGCTTCTGCTAGGTGAAGGGGTTGGCTTGTGTCGCGGGGGAGTTCAGCTGTGAGAGTGGAAGTGGCTTTCTCAAAGAGCTTGATCCAGTCTCGGCCTGGATGGTTGATGATACCAGAGGCCATTTTCAGGAAATTCTTGTGGGTCGAAGTTGAAGCGGTAGTTAAAGAATTGGTGATGTTGAAGGCCAGGGCAATATTCTCGTTGGCTGCTGCACGAAGGTGGAGGGTGTCTTGTGGCTTCGAAACGCCAGCGAAGGAAAAGTTGATGATTGACTTTTGGCCGTTGAGCCAGGTGTTGACGTCTTGCTTCTCAGGTCGTTGAAGCCACTGAAGCCAGGCTGGTTGTCCAAAGTCTATCTCTATGTGGAATAACCACAGAATCAACTTGTAGAGCAACACGCAAGTGATTCCCAAAATAGCCACGAAGCCGAGAAACATGTACTCGCCGAGGAGGTTCAGAGGTTCACAGCATGGATTTGGTCTCGTCACCTTGGGCGGTGTGCTTGCCCAAGCATCATGGGAGGAAGATAGGTCAGACGACATCATGAGGTAGCTGCCTGGAGTCTGAGTGATGGGTTGAGTGTAGTTCTGAGACTGGACTTCGCATCGGGGATCCAGCAGTCTCTTATTTCTAAACACACCAAAGCAATACTATCAAATCTCATCTTCCCACGCCAGTCCGTCCTGGCATCCCTCATTGTTGCCACGGTCATCAGCTGATGACCATTCATACCAGCCTCGAGGCGGAAGAGTGCAGTTGAAACTGCTACCAGCGTCGATAAATTTCATTCTTTGTTTGCCTGTCTTTGACTTTGACCAATGAGTCCAGTATTTTCGAGCTATTTCTGTGGTGTTTGCTTTGCTGTTCTGTCTTAGCGTTGTAGGCCTCAAGTATGTGAAACCTCACGACGTAGCTCATGATGCCCAATGCAAAGATGAGAAGCGGCACGATACGAGCTTGTCAGCTGTTATCAGAAGTGACGATGCGATGCAGCTTGAGGTGCAAACAAAACTCGGGAACCGGTAGTTGAAGTGGTACACAGTCTGGAGCCGCCCCCGACTGGTGCAAGGAGCCGTTGTTGATGGCCCTTGTCCTTGGCATGTCAGGAACACCACCCCGTTGTTCTCAAAGGAAGTTGGCGGTGCTTGGAGACTGGTCCATCTGGAACCTTTGTAATCACTTTAATCACCAAAACAAATTCAGGGCTTTGTCTTGAGAGCAAAAAGAAAAAAGTTGAGTTCTATCGACAAGAAAGGACATCAAGGTGCCTTCTCGACCTTGCCATTCTTCAACGCGCCCGCATACGCCACTCCACCACCCACAGTAGGGTTCCTCGCCAACTTATTCTCCCCATCCCTGATCAAGAACTTTGCAATCTTGATCTCCTCCGTACTCCTCTTCTTGAGATTTGGAATCCCAAAGAACTGCGCCTCAATAGCATCATACCCAATATCCATCTCAAAATATCCCCTATAATACAAATCCTGCCACTGCAACGTCGGGTTGTTCTTGATCAATAACTTGGAAATCGGATCCGTGATCAACCTCGGCACAATCCCCGTCAACGGACTGGAGCTGCTCACCGCACTCCCCGCCAACTCAACCCCCACCGCCCCCGCCCCGGTGTTCTCATCATACCCCTCCTCCGCCTTCCAAACCATATCACTCACCCAAGCCGCATGGCTATCCCCGCTCAGCATGACCGTGTTGTTGATCTTGTTGTCCACCAGTGTCTTGTACACCCTGTCCCTATTCGCGATGTACCCATCCCACTGATCCAGATTAAACGGCTCATCATTAAAAACTCCAATCGTCACCCTGCTGAAGATCACCTGGTTGCCCACCAACCTCCACCTGGCCTGTCGATCACTCGACTCCTGAAGCTTGGTGTAGAACCAAGCCTCTTGGTTGAACCCCATGATCGTCCTGTTCACCCAATCAGCCTGCTCCTCCACCTCATTCTTATTCCCCCCAATAATCCCCCCCAGCGGCCCAAGAACGGTAACGTCCCGGTTGTACTGCCTCGTGTCAAGCATGATGAGATCAAACAAGTTCCCAATGGAGAAATCCCGCCAGATGCGCAAAGAGTCATCCATAGTGACCTGCCGAAGGGGCATCCACTCAAAATACGACCTCACAGCCGCCTGCTTCCTCAACCTGAACTCCTCCCCGTCGCTGTTCTTGGAGCCGTCCTTGTAACTGTTGTCAGCGACCTCGTGGTCATCCCAGACAGGGATCCAAGGGAACTTTTGGTGAGACAAGGCAAGATCAGGATCGAGACGGTAGGAAGCTGTGCGCTTGCGGTAATCGTAGAGAGAGTAAGTCTCCCGGTCAGGAAGAGGTTTGCGGAGGTCGGTGAGGCCGGCTTTGTACTCGTAGATGTAATCGCCGAGGTGGAGGATGTAATCTGCGGAATCCTTGGCGTTGACGGCGGCGTAGGCGTTGAAGTAGCCTTCGGGGTAGTTGGAGCAGGAGTAGACTGCTAGCTTGATGTTGCGGGGGACGGTTTGGTCTTTTGTGGGGATGGTCTTTGTGCGGCCGACGACGGAGGATTTGGAGGAGTCGCAGACGTTGAAGCGGTAAAAGTAGGTTGTGAAGGGTTGGAGGTTTGTTGCTTCAAACTAGGGGGGGTGGGTGTTAGCCCGGATCTTTTGGGATGATGGGCGTGGGAGGCATACCTTGACTGTCCAGTCTACTTCGCTCGAGGTGTAGGCTCTGCCGCTGTTTACGACATTGGTCAAGGCTTCGTCTGTGCCAATGCGGTACTCGACGCAGGCGGCGCGGCTGCTGGGGGGGGCGCCCTCATCGCCATAGATGGGCACTACGCCCTCTGGGACGATATCTGAGGCGACGTTATCGGCTGTGGGGGAAAGTCTGGTCCAGAGAATAACGGAGTTGGCATATGGATCTCCTGACGCGATGCCGTGGGTGAAGTTCACTTCCGCTGCTGTGTACAAAGAGCCACTCTGGCGCTTCTGAACGTGGGCAAGAGGGACAGCGAGAGAGGCGTGGCGACGAGATGGTGAGAGGTAGGCGAGGTTGTTCTCGAAAGAAGCAGAGACAACACCCGCAAGGGAGAGGGCAGCTGTGAGGCGCAACATGGTGACTGTTGACTGGACCTCTTCGATGTTTACTTTGGCCTGAGTGTCAAAGTGAAGCCATCGTCAAAAGAAGTAGACGGAGACATCCTATTTGTACTCGCAATACCTATTTCTTCCGGTAAGTGGTTATGAACAGCGAATGTAAGGGCCTTGGATGGTCGTGCATATAACCTCGGGATCATACATTGTCGCCCTTGGCATGCTGGGGTCAATATCTTAAGCAGCGTTGATCAATTCTTGTTCCTGACTGGTCATGTCGGCGAACCAGGCATACTCCATGAAAGGACGCCCAAAATGTGGGAATGTTGAGCCGTATTATCAGATCATGCACAAGAGTTGTGTTCCTGAGCAAGGCAGCGCACATCAGCTTTCCCTACAGGGGAATCGGACATGCAGGGCCAAGCCAATGAAGCAACCTCATGCCTGCAACGTGCGCTGTGCCATCTGGTTCGAAGCTGTCAAAAGCCCACTGTCAAATCAGCAATCAGGTATTTGAAGGCCGATCAAGGCCGCCATCTTCGGGAAGGCTCCACTAGATGTAACACTGGGAGGCTGGTGACGTTGTAGAAAGCAGACACCCCTGCCCGCTGTAGTTGGGAAGAAGCCAATCGCTTAAAAATGTGCCGACGGTTTCGAAGACTCCTTCCTGAAGCACATAAGTCTTGGAGTGTACCAGCGCTGGAAACGAGATTACTGTGAATGCGGCATGTGATTTTGTTGAGTCTTTGGGGACTTGAAGAAATTCCGAAGAAGCCGAAATGGAAAAAGTGTAAACTGAGAAGAAGGAAGCTCTGGGTGTGGATCAGAGCAAAATATATGGGCGACCCCGGAATCGAACCGGGGTTTCTTCGGATCGTATGTGATATTCTTGCGAATAACCACAACGAAGCGTCCTGACCACTAGACTAGTCACCCGGTGAGGTATCATTTGATGGAGGGAAGACACAATGTTTGACATTATATCGGAAGCTCCACCGCCTGCCCATTTTCGCACTACCATACCCTCCAGGTGTATCAGGAATTCAATGATCAGAAATGCCCCCTGGCTACAATTTGCATTATTCAATATTAGGTCAACCCCTAACAAGCTTCAACTTCCTTGCCTTCTTTGGATGATACGACAACAAAAACTCTACCAGTTTCATATCCTCCCTTCCAAAATCAGGATGCACCTTCAAGTCATCCCACCTCCGGATCATGCTTGCCACGCTGTAGTAAAGTTCGCACATGGCCAAGTTCTGACCAATGCAATTGCGCGTTCCTCGGCCAAAGGACACAAGGCACTTTTCTCTGGCGTGAACGGCGTCCACATCTGGATCGGTCCAACGTGTGGGATCGAACTTGTCTGGGTCCGGGAAGATCTCAGTGTTGTGATGCATCGACCAGGCACTCATGCTAACTACTGTGCCGGGTGGAAGTATATACCCGTCGAACGTGGCGCCCGAAGAAGGAACGACACGGGGTAGGTGGCCAGGTACACCTGGACTGAGTCTGTTCTGTGTCAGCGTGGCTTTCATCAACCGTTGTCACGTAGATATTGTACCTACCTTAGAGTCTCCTTGATGACCCCCGTCAAATAAGGCACCTTCTCCAGTTCAACCAAACTCATATTCTGTACAATAAAAGGGTCAGGTAGAGCCGTCTTCAGCTCTTCCCTCAACTTCCTTGCAATCTCAGGCGAGTCAAGAACCTCGTACAGCGCCCTGCAAATGGTGGCGCCTGTAGTCTCGACACCCGCTCCGGTGACATTCACCGCGTCAGCAAAGACAACAGCATCTGGAAGCTTTTGACGCGACGGCAGATCCTTTGTCGTCTCAGAAAGCTCGGGATCAATAAGCTCATGAAAGATGGTTCTCCGAGGAGGTTTGATACCAAGCGCGATATCCCTCTTGACCTCCGCGACAGATTGCTGAACAACCTGTCAAATCTGCATTAACACCCGCCATTCCCCAGAGAAGTGGCACTGGGCGACATACCTCTAGGCTGTCAAACCATTTTCCAAAATGTGGATAAAGCTTCACCATCACCCAGTCCGGAACCAGCCCAAAGACCGGTACCAGGGAGGGGAAGGTTTGGAACCAGGGGAAGAAAGTCTGAACAGCTCTAATAGCCTCCTGATATCCCTCGCCCCTTTTGTTCTGTTAGCCCAGGCTTCAGGTTCATATCCCATGGCGGACTTGCCAGTCAGCCAAATCCATATAATTCCAGGATTTCGCATAGGCATACTCGGTGATGATATCGACCGTGAGTGCCCTCGTGGCTCTGTGCACATCAAACTCGCCACCCTTCTGACTCAGAAATTGTTCGGCCATCTTAACCAACTTCTCAGTTTTGTCTCTGACAATTTCTTCCAAGCCAAGAACGGACCTTCGGGAAAAGAATGGATTCATGCCCATTCTCCTCACCCTGTGTTCCTCATTCGGGATCATGGTCAGCATAACGGGGGTCTTAATCGGCCCCTCCATCGGTCCGTAGAACGCAGGATCTTTGTAGAAGCCTGTCCTCAGGGAGTTCGAGTATATTGTTTCATAGTGCTCAGGTGAGGAAAGGTGAATCTCGTTGGGTGAGATACGGATAATCGGGCCTGGGTGGTTCACATTAGAGATGTCGTTACTTGGGGGATTGCCGAAAGAACCAACCATATTGAGCGTGCCATATTTCCAAGGCATGTAGTAGCTGACCTTCCAGAATACCTTGTTGGTAGAGGATGGGAAGGTAGGAGATGGCGTTGAAAAAGGGCCCAGGAATGGAGGCGAGAGGGGAAAAGTATCGTCGGTAGACTGCTATAGACAAACAGTAAATAACGCAAACTCCGACAAGCAATGGCCAAATCGATATTAGAAGCGAGAATGAGAGCGCCATTGTTGTTGTAGTCGTTCTGGTTATGCTTGTGAGCGTGAAAGAACGTCAAATAGGTATCAGGCGAGTAGTCCCGCATAACCTTGAGACCTGGCATGGGTGAGAAGATGAGGTTAACGACAAGTCCTCCCAATATTGAAGAAATATGTCCAGAACTATCGCTCTTAATACATCCAGTTTTAGACTGACTTCAACAACACAAGCGAGCACGCTGCATGAGCCACCATCTCTAATCACTAAACCCCCATGCCAATATAGGGAAGTGTGGTGCATCTTGTGAGTGTGTTGCAGGCCAATAGTTTAGGGTCTCTGTCCCCTCGGTTTGGTGAAGTAGTGAAACACTAACACATGTGTGCTTTGTGAACAGGTGCCGAGCTAATAGCCTTATGCATGCGTGATTCAGCCCGCAGCTTGCCGTTGATCAACATTCCCATCTCACAGCGATACAACGGTTGGTGTCGCCTTTTATCGGATGTTCGGGAGTCACATCGTGGTTGTGGGGGCGGTATCTCTATCTAGAAAGGGTAAGAACTTCATGCCGAATGTCTGGACAGAGATAAGGTGAACACACACTTTTTGTTATGCAGCAGCACTGATGGTTGTGTAGCCGATCATTTCCCCTCGTAAACAGATGTCAAGACTTTGATAGAGAGAAAAGGGCTGCATCGTGCACTTCGAGGGTAAGCGCTATTGAGCTGCCAAGATAAAGGGTGCTTGTTGTATCATGAAATAGTAATGTGAGTCTGTCGGTCGCTCAATTCGAGGAAAGAAGAGGGCCGTCGGGGACTCAGATGATATCACCTTCATTTTGAGTTACTTGTTGCCCGGAAGTATGTTTTACGAGTTTTGGCAAGACGGCCTTGGGGTGACGAAGTGCAACAGCGCACCTTCCTATTGCCGCCCCAGGGCGGACTTACCAGCGATGGTGTTTGATGCGATATCACGTGGATGGGGCACAGAGCCCAATGAGCAGTGCTGCCTAATCAGAAAGCGCTCGTTCCTTCTACTCATCAACATCAAATCTTTTCATCACCATGGCGCAGTATTCTACTCCCAATGTTTCTATCCCGGATTTGTGCGAATACTGTTCGATGATCCCGTTTGATCTGCTACACGCAGATAGCCCCATCTCTTTTGGCAACAACTCAACTTGGGATATCGGCACTGCCTCACGAATTCGAACCAGCACATGTCCGGTCTGTCGACTGGTTAGCGAGCTTCTATATCGACACGCCAAAAGGCCAGTCTACTTCAACTTCAACCCCGACTCTACACTTCTTTCCATCAAGTGGGATTATGGTCTGGACCTTGCTTTTCCTAGTCGAAGATGTTTCTTAGTTGACAGGGCCGACTCGTCCAGGCCAGGGCATGCTCCAATTGGGCTCTGCTTTCTTGCGGCAAACCATAGGGATCATGGTCGAAGCAATTACTTGCATTATGAGCTTTCGAAAACGGTTGACATTGAACGCACTGCCAGGTGGATCGATGAATGCTCACGCAAACATCAATGTGTTGTCGCTCCAGCCGGGGAGTCATTTGAGCAAGCCTATCCAGGTCTTCAGTTTCTTCGCTGCATTGATGTCAAGCTCAATTGCGTGGTAGAACTGAATCACATAGTACCATATGTGGCGTTGAGCTATGTCTGGGGCTCCGTCCCCAACTTCAGGATTACAAAGGCCAACAGGAATGAACTCAAGTACCGTGACAGTATCAACAAGGCTTGGAATCTCATCCCGGAAACAATTCGTGATGCTATAACACTTACTCGGAAGCTCGGCCTGCGTTATCTGTGGGTTGATTCTCTATGTCTAGTTCAAAACGACCCTAGCGATCTTGAGCCAGGCATCGAGCTCATGGATCAAGTGTATGAACGGGCATGGGTTACTGTCGTCGCCGCCTCGGGCTTCGACGCCAATGCTGGGCTGCCTGGCATTGAGACGGGCAGCCGAGAGGTAGGGTGCTTGGCTCATGAAATCAAACCAGGCATCTTCCTAGGAAAGATAACAAGCATTGACCTCTCAATGCACGAGAGTCCGCACATGGCCAGAGCGTGGACATAGGTCTTTCTTCTCTAAAATACGTGAACCATACTCTGAGCTTTGCTCACGCAGTCGCCGTTTTAGGCTTCAAGAGCGCATTTTATCGCGCCGAAACTTGTACTTCTTCCGAGACCAAGTTATCTTTCGGTGTAACAGGGACGAATATCATGAAAGGCTCAATGACAACCTCGCGCGATTTCACCGGGTGGTTCCCCGAGCCATGGATCATCTAGGGGAGTCTGCCTTCACTGCTCTACGAGTGTACGGTAGTTTGATCCGCCAATACTCAGGCCGGTCTCTCGGCAAAGACGCAGATGTGCTCCGAGCCATGGGAGGCATCATGAGGCGAGTGTCAATAAAGGTTGGATATCCCCTAGTTCAGGGCTTGCCAGTCGCGCATCTCGATATTTTTCTCCTGTTCAAGGGGAACAATGTTACTCGACGGTCTGGGTTTCCAAGCTATTCGTGGGCTGGCTGGCGAGGGGAGGTGCGGATGATATTTTTGGAGGAGTTTGAAAGCCAGCTGATTGACGAATGGTTGGAGAGCCACAGGACTTGGATAGTCTGGTACACCACCGATAGCAGCGGGAGAACAACGTCAGTAATCGACCAAATTAACCGAACTCACCACCGAACATTACAAGGCACCACAGATTGGAGAGCAAGCTGGCTCTACCCTAATGAACCGCGTGTTTCATTCCAAGGGTTTCAATCTGGGTTGTCATTGGAGACGCTGCCGAGGCCAATCCATAACCCAAAGCCGTACCCAATTTTGAGGTTCTGGACATGGGTGTTGACACTCACAATCCAAACGACAGATGTCTTTACCAGTGACGCTCGACTCCTCGGGGCTCATGGTGAAGATTGTGGATGGATGAGTCTTGATGATTTGGGGGGTTCAGAGAGTGACATCATATTTCACGACTCTGCACCAATTGAAGTGGTTATTCTCTCTGAGGGGTGCCCACAGAAGACATTTCGGAACGATGAAAAATACGTACTTGACACTTGGACACCCACAGAGGTAGAAATTTGTGACGGCCTCCACTATAATGTTATCCTGGTGAAATGGGATGGTGGAATTGCCGAGAGAAGAGGGTATGGCTGGATCAGAAAAAAAAGCATTGCATCTAGGCTTTGGTCAGGGGCCTCATTGGAAAGAGATTAACCTGGGATGAAGGAGGTTGAATGTGGAACCTCTTATGACTCAGCATGGGTTTGCCCTGGTGGGGACATAACTCCATCCCACACAACGGGCAAGGAAAGAGAAGTTGAGACAATTTCTCGGCCATTGCAGCCACAGAACATTCCAGGTTCTATAGTGTAGCGGTTAGCACTTCGGATTCTGAATATCAGAGCATTCCGGCAACCCCGGTTCGAGTCCGGGTAGGACCTCATATCATCCATCATTTTTTTTTGCAATTCATGACTTTCCCCCATGTCTACAGCCTCACACAACCCTTCAATCCTTTCTCACAGTTGCTATCTTGTCCAAAAACTCTTTCCCATCCTCAGAATGCACCCAATCAATCCACATAACCTCCATCAAGATATCCCTCACGTCAGTCCATCCCAGTTCACTCTTCTCACCTTTCATCACCTCCACAATCTCCCTTCCCTTCTCAACCAATAGTCCTCCATCCTCCGCTGCCCCGTGGTTACCAAGCGCCGATATATACGCCACAAATAAAAACCACAGCCTTAGGTTACCGCTTTGTTTTTTGGTATCCAGATTCTGAAGGCAGTCTCTCGCCTGCTCCTGCAAATGAGGGAATTTGAACGGCAACCCCTTTACATGCAAAAAAGTTGTAGTGGTAAAAGCCAACATACCCACACTCAACAGTCTTTCCTCTGCTGTCATCGACAGACCGTCTTCATGACGTAAAGCCAACAGCCTGTACTGCACCGAGATCAGCGTCTCAAGATACTCAGCCGCCCCGATCTTGCTGCCTATCTGCTTTGCGAGATTAGCCGCGCGAGAGAATTCCCGGAGGTCAAGGTAGACGTTCAACAGGCGAGGGTCAGTGACGAAGGACATGTCCCATGTTGGTGCCCCGGTTGGTTTGGATGAGGTGGGCTGTGGTTGAGAGGATAAGTAAGGTTCCCAGGAGAACCCCTCCGAGAAAAACAGCGGCTTTACACCGGTCGACAGGGCCAGGCCAAGATCGGCTCTCAGTATCTTTGACTGCAGTTGGGGGTTGTATTGAAGTGCTTGTATTCCTCCTCGGACCTCGACGATCTTGGAAAGACCTTGGAGATGTTTCCGTGCGTTGTCGTAGTCGCCGAATAGGTCAGCCATCATGGCTAGGGTGTTCACGGTGGTGATGGTTGAATCTGAAGTTGCGAGGCAGGCGTCGAGGAGGTTCTGTCGGAGGCGGGAAATGCATGTGGTAAGGTGTTGCAGAGTAACATTGCCAAACTTTGCTGAGCGGCGCCAGTCGAAGAAGGCATTGGTTGAGAATAGGGCCGAGTGAAGGTAAGCTTGGTCATAGGTGAGGTATTCCACCCACTGACGACTGTCTGGCTGGACGCAGGTCTCAACGGGATAGGCGGATTGTTTGATGATTGTGAAGAACTGGAACATGAGTTCCTGCATGTAGGGTGCCAGCGGGGTTATGAAGGCAATGTGGCTTAGGTCATTGCCGACTCGTGGTGGGATGGAAATCGAATTGGGAGAGTAGTCTGCGACTTGGCAGTCGTTGATCCAGGAGCGAATCAGGGGTTTGTCTTTCTGACTGGCCCGCTTTCGATTCTTGCCTCGCATGACATGGCTGCGGATCTGTTTCCTGGATGCAGGGTCGATCTTGGCTGATGAGTTGACTATGAAAAGGGGGGTGTTCGAGTTGGGTGCGTGGTTTTTCCTTGCCGGCATGTTGTTGGATCGGTTCAGCGTCGCAGTATCTGTATCGACAAAAAAGATGTGACGGCTGTGTAAGACCGGCAAATTCTTGCCAAGTATCACTACGAGCAGATAGATCGAGGTGATGATTAAACTCGCAGGACAAGAGGAAGCAAGCTTGGGAACAGATATGGAAAATGCAAAAGTCTTGGGAGCGGAAATAGCGGACGTCGAAAGGCATCCAACATGTCGTCGTCTGTCAGCTCGAAGGATGGACCCACACGGGATTGCTTTGCCAAGACACGATTACTCTCCCCTTCGGGAAAGGTGGATCACGGAGAGGTGGGACCGGCACGGGCCCGAACGTTCGGCGCCACGGAGCTTGATTATGCCTTCCTCAACTTTCAGCGAGCTTATTCATCAGAGCTGAAACCTCGTCGGCGAGGCTAGGTAGTCTTTACAGGCCAACAAGGCCCGCCAAGCTTCAACTACAATCCCAATTCGGTAAACAGTCGTCTCTGGGGTCGCCGTCGTCCTTTGTGTCTTTGTTGCTTCTACAACTCAGCTCTCGTCCATCCAGACGAAAATCTCCTGTATAAATCACCCAAAGTCCCACATTCTCCATGATTGAGTAGTCAAATCAGCGTTCTATCCCAATCGATAGTTCAAACAAAGCAACACCGCCATGACGCCATCTTCAACCTCCTCTGCATCCCTCGATCTAGGTCGCCCAACCCAGTCCGCCACCTCCATATTCATTTCCTCTCAATTCCGCACCAAGCCTCAGCGCCTTACCCTAACAAGATCCACCTCGTTGGCAGGCAAAACAGCCCTCATCACCGGTGCAACCACCGGACTGGGCTACCATGCCGCACACAACCTCCTATCACTCTCTCTTTCCCACCTCATCATCGCAGTTCGCAACACTGAGAAAGGAGAAGAGGTCGCCTCAGGTTTCCGTCGCAAGTTCCCTTCTGCAACCATCACATTCATGCACCTCGAGATGTCGTCCTACCCCTCCATCCAATCCTTTACTTCCGCCCTGTCAGACAAGTTCTCAAACACCGACATCACCAAGCCCCGTCTGGACATTGCCATCCTCAACGCTGGCGTCGTTTCAGCAAACTTCAGCCTAGACCCTGTCACGGGAAACGACCGTGTCATACAAGTCAATTACCTCGGCACATTCCTCCTAGCCATCTTGTTGATACCCATCATGCGATCTGTCTCTGGCGGCAACCCAGGTAGACTCACCATTGTCTCCTCTGGTGGTGTATACAACTCCAAACTTTACCCACCTTCCCCCGGCGTCCCCTTTCTGTCATCGTTCAACAACCTGACGACATCCCCTTCGTCGAATGGGAAAGGAGCATACCAAGCAATGAACCACTACTTTGTATCCAAGCTCCTGGGTCAGATGTTTTTTGCCGAGCTGATCCGGAGGGGTTATCTCCCGCCCTCTGATCAACTCATCACCAACCTTGTTGATCCCGGTTTCTGCAAAGGCACCGAGTTGCAGAGGGAGGCAAGTGGTATTTTGCTTGCTGGGGCGATCAGGTTGGTCAAGGCTATTACTGCGAGGGATATCAAGGATGGGGCTTGGACGTATGTGGATGCTGTCGTCACGAAAGGAGCAGAGAGTAATGGGTGCTTTGTGATGGATTGGAAGGTTAGCCCGTTTGGATATCAGGTTTATGAGGAAGGTCACATGACAGTCATGAAGCAACTCTTTGAGGAGACTATGCACGAGTTGGAACTTGCGGGGATAAAGACTGTCCTCGAGGAATTGAGGGCCGCTCGGAAAGGGTGGTGACCCCTAGGGGTGGGCACATGATACTGGGAAGCAAGAATGACAAATGAGACTAGATAACTTCCCGCTGTGCGATATCAAAATCTTGCTATCACTTTGGCGTTTCATATCTATATCCCCGCCAGTCGTGAGTCAACAAATTTCCTTGTGGCGTTCTTTGGAAAGTGCCCGGTTCAAGACGTTGCAAACGAAGGTCCTTTGATAGGCCCATAACGTCTTGTTCGGTAGTGTGTTCTAGACCTTGAACTAGGTGTTTGCTTTGATGTTATCATTAGCTCATCACTCACAGGACTGAACCACACGCAGTTGCCGCGACGATTTTGCAAAGATTTGTTGGCCCACATCTTGCGTCCCCCTCTATGTCTCATCATGGAGTTTGAGGGTTTGTGAACTATTCTAGGTAGGCGTGGTTACGTTGGATGGGTCACGGATGAACAGCGCTTGACCCGGCATTCCTCTCGAAGGACCCTGGATCTGCATGCTCGCTCTAAGGGACCTGCTCCTACCTATTACATAAGTGGGCGTTAAACCCAGGGTCCAGTCTAAAAGTCCTGGGGATGAGTGGGCTTGAAGGAAAGCGGTTGTGATGACAGGATGCATTGCAGCCCAAAAATGCAACACGAGTGACATCGTTGCCGTTGATGATGATGTCAGCCAATCAGAGGTATAGGATCGCCGGAAGAAACGCTATCAGGTAATTCGGGTTCTATCTCTTTGAAGCTTGCAACCTCAGGTTGTTTTATGCCAGTGGGATGTCAACAAAGGTCTGGGAAAAGGTGATGCTATTGGTGACGCATGGAGAGAAGAAGCAAGAGGCCGTGGTCCAGGTTGCAAGATGAGGAGGAGCAAGACACATGCAGTGGGCTTACGTCTACGCCCCACATGGCTTGATACTCGCATTCATTGACATCCAGGGTGAGGTTTTGATGAAACTTTGTCAATTACCTATACACTTGGTTCTGTCTGCAACGAGTTAGGTATCTGTAGATGCTTCATGTTAATCAGCATATCAAGCTTTGAAGGGGGCAGGGCAAGGTCTTTCATGTGAAGCCTCGCTCTCTGAGACTCAACACTTCAATGGTGGGCATTGACAACATAACTTGATACCTAGCTATGTGATTTATTGGACCATTGACATTGATGTTAACAACACGCATCTTTCAATGATTCGTACTGCTGGGCATTATAAGCGGAAGGCTCTGAGTTCCAGATTGCGAGCCATCTTGCTGAGGTGTGTAGGATTTGGGTGGATATGCATACTACTGGTAAGTTTTGTTCCACTCGGTTTCTCTAGACTGCCACACACTGGTTAGTTGAAGAGCTCTTCTCACACGCCAAAGCAACCAGAATCCTGGTTTCTCAGAGTCCGTGACTAGGCTAGAGGCTTTGATTGAATTGGTAAGGTTGTACAAAGATGAACCGCATGAGCCCGTGAAGAACAGGAGCCACAAACTTGAACGGAAAACGCGGTTGAGATTTGGTGAGAGCGATAATTGTCCAAAACAGTCCAAAAACCTCCTTTTATGACTTGATCAAATTAGCCAGGCCCCCCACCCTCCAAACCACAAGTTCCTCACTCAATCCCCCCACGCACCCCCACTCCTATGCAAGAAGACAT